ATGTCGCAAAATCGTAAATTTTTTGGGGCGGCTTCCTCTAAACTCAGATACACATACACAGTAAAAAAAAAGGGTTAAATGAGAGCCGAATTGGGATTCGGTGAGAAAATAAACAAAATTGGAGAAGAAACCAAGAAGGAAAATATCAGAGAGTGGCTCTGTGTAACAGGAAGGAGGTGGAGGATAAGAGTTCGCTGCATCACTGTTTTGTGGGGTCTATCTTCATTTGTCGGACCCTCTATATTCTTTTTTTTTAAAATTATTATCTTGGTAACAGTGATTTTCTGTTGAAAAATCATTTTTCATGACGGCAAAATAAAATAAAAATCTCATAATGTATTACAGGATATAAAACTGAATCAACATCATGAATTTTGGCATAAAAGAAATATATAGTATCCTATACTATTATTTGGGGAGTACACTTTATAAGATACCCTTAACTAACCTTTCCTTTTGTAAAAATTTACTTAAGAATGCCATTATAAAAATCTTTTTTTTAGAACAAATTTCATTCAATTTATTAAGGATAAATAAGTAAAATACTAATTTATGTCATTTAATTAATTTAATTAAATTATAAAACGAAAATCTGTTATTTTTTTTAAAATGACCAATCAAAATGAACATATAAGATTTGATATCTAACTTACCATATTAATTTGTTATTAATCATTAAACTTCACCTCTCATCTTAATATGAAACAAATAAATCATCATATCATATACATAATAAAAAAAAAAGTAATTTTTTTTTCTGCATATGCCAAGATTTGAATTTTTAAAAACGCATATAAATTGTTCAATCTATAAAGGAAACAATTAAACTGGTCAAAAATTCAAACTTGAGTAATATATTTTTTTTACACAAAAATAAAGTCAACAAAAATTCCCACTGAGCAACGGGTCAGAATTTGAATATTTATATTCGATTTCATGCATTTATTTTTTTGAAATGTATAATTTTATATACTACAATAAAAATTTAAATATTTTAATTTGCAACATTTAAAATAAGTTTTACTTGATATTTTTAGAGAATATCATCAATACTTAATAGTTCAAAAAGTTAAAAATTATAAATACTCTAATTTGATTGTTTTTAAAAATATTTATAATAGGTAGCGGGTTAAATATAATATATTATATGATGAAATGAGTTTTGATCCTTATAACTATTTGAATAGTTATATTTAATTTCATATAATTTGTTTTTTGAAATTCATAATTTTATAAACTACAAAAAAAATTTAAAGATTTTAATTTGGAATAATTAAAAATAGTGTAGAACATTTAAATATGGTTTGACACCTCTAAATATTTGAAAATTTGATTCCACAAGCAATTTTAGAATTAACGAATAATAGATTGTGCACGCAATATTTTAAAATGAAATATTGTGATTCTAAAATAAAAATATAGACTCCACGCACGGGTTAATTTTGGTATTATTATATACTAAAAAATATGTTTATAACATATTCGATTATGCGAATAATTGGTAAATTCCGTAATTATAAATCTCAAACAAATTCTGTAATTAGATTAGCTCAAACAAATCTCTATTTCAACAACCAAAGAATTATAAATTGAAAAAGAATTTTCTAAATTAATTCAAAATAATAGCTAATTTTCTTAATTAATTCAAAATAATCTATGTTTTATATGTGATTCATTTATGATATTTTAATATTTGATCTAACTGAAATATATGCAATCCTATTTTGCGGTTGTTAACATAAATTAACTCATTGTTCAAAAATTATTACTTTTTAAAAAATAAAATTATTTTATGTTTTCATATCTTAAAAAAAAAATTATCCATAATTGAGTATTTTAGAAAAAATTCTATATTTATTCTAATATTGTATATAGAGACTGACAAAAAAATTAATATTTTTTCACTTACTATTATAATATATTAAAACTTAGTTCTAATATATATATTATATAAATTTTGTAATAAATAAAATTCAACCCGTACTTTAGTACGGGTGATGATCTAGTCACATATTGAAGAAGATAGACAAGTTTGAAAATTAGCTTTGCAGAAAGAAAAAAAAGGATATATAACTATATAAGTCTTATTCAACTGAAAATAAATGATTTTTTTTTTTCCTTTTTATTCATGATTTTTTCATTCCGGAGCGAAAATTAACATTCGGTACCAATCGGTCCAGTATTCTTGACATTATTTGGTCCATTCTTAAAGAAAAAAAAACTTTTCAAGCATTATACCTTTTCTAATCCCCACTAATATAGACATCCATTCATAAACCATGCATGGACCATGGTCCATAAGTTTCTTATTGTCCATCAGTCGATGTCGTCATTCTTAGACATCTCTTACATTTTTGTTATAAGTGGCAAAAAAGAAAGAAGAACATCTCTGATTACTACTTTATTTTACAATTTCTTAGAATTGTATGTGCCATTGGTTTTCATGTGGTCGTTCTTGTATGCACCAGGGTGAATGGGAAACGTGGTCCCTTGCGTCCATTATAAAACTAACTGTGACATATAAACCTCAAAAATCAAGTTCCCATGTGCCAGCAACAAGTGTCAAAGACTTTATGTGATCTTCACAACTTTGTTGTCCATATAATACAGTAGTACGAAATACAAGAGCAAAACTAATTAAATACAGAGAAAAACATACATGTGGTGGGTGCATGGCATTAATTTTCACAACCCAAAAGACATATGCATGTGTTTAAGTTGATTTACATTTTCTCAAGAATTCACACATTTATTGGATTTGAATTCGAAAAATGATGTGATCAAACGTGTCTGACAGAATAAAATGTGATACAATTAACTTCTCTGGCTCGTATAACAACGGTCCAACTCCAGTTAATGGAGTTACTGGTCAGTGGTAACGACTAATTGAATAAATTCATATATTAAAAATGAATGATTTCATAAACCCTTGAAAGATTTAGTGGGTCCTCAATGATAACGTTTAGTTGAGGATCTCTTCTTTCTAAATTAGGCAGCAAACTAATATAATAGTACAGTTTTAGTATAAAGTATCTCAAACCGTAGCCCCTATAATTTACTAACGTAACCAATGAGTAAAACATACACTCTAGAAATACGATCGATGTTCGCTTTCGGCTTTCCTATAAATCGAGCGGGCCTATACAGCTATACTATAAGACTCAGCAAATTTTTCATATATTTAGTTTGTTCAGAACGAATCATACTTAGGTTCACCCCAAGGGTAAACCTAAGTATGGTTGAACAGCTTAGATTTGAGTGTTGACCGGAATTCATAAGTTCTATAAAAACAAAATGAAAATAGGAAAACAAATAAAATACTACATTTGTTGCAAAAATAATTAACCATGAGTTTGGAAATATTTTTTGTTGCCATGATTTCTAATATGTTATTGGAGTCTATGGTTGGTTCAGTAAACGTTTTTTTCACAAAAATGGTTTCTCATCTATATAGTCTGTATAAATGATCTATTTTGTTGTGATATTTCCGAAATAATGGATTTAGAGTTTGGACTGTTTCCGTTAGACCGTTTCTTACCCATATTTTGAAGAAACCTATTAGAAATTTAGAATGTTAGAATATCTCATGCTACAAAAATGAGATATTTAATATATAAGGTGGGTGGACTTTTCCACAAAATACCAATTAATTTTGAATTGGAAATTGATGATTCCTCGCATTTTGTTTATAAAAAATGAACAATACTAAATTGAAAAAAAAAAAAAAATCTAAATCTATACAACGAAAAGCATCGTCGAAATTTGCTTATATCACTTTACAATTTTTATTACAGTTGATTATTTTAGGCGTAAATTTTATATCATGTTTGTAGACTATGTATGTTTTAAAGTAATGAATGAAAAAAAAAAAATAAACAGTATTAAATTAAAAAATTATTAAAAGTTTGAAGGTTCCTATATTTTAAACACACAAAAGTAATGGAGTCGAGAATTAAAAAGACTAGATTGTGTACCCGCGCGTTGCGCGGGATTTAATTTAAAACTTTTATTTTTTGAATCAATTGAATTAAAAAAATATTATACTTTACTCATGTGCATTATCTTTCCAAAGTAATAAAAATTTTCTCACATTTTTCACTATAACTTTTCTCGTTATCTTCTATGATTCACTCGTTGTCTCCCGACATCTACTCTCTTTTCTCCTTAGCTCGTAACTATTTTCTCCTTCATATCTTTCAATACTCAATTTTTTTATAAGTTTCATGATCTTTTTATTTAAGTGAACATCGGAAACAGAAATCTGGGGAGATGTTTTAATCGGTACTCACATTTTGAATGTCTATTTTCAAAAATGAATTGCTTTACTTTAAGTAAAAACCTTTAAATTTGGTATTTGTTTTTAACTCTTATTTTCTTTACTCTACTAAATAATTGTAACTCTTAAAAATAATTGTTGTACCGTTAAAATATATAATTTAACTATTTATATTATATTATACTTATAAATAATAATATGTCCTAAATCCTTCTTATGTTTTAATCGGTACTCACATTTTGAATGTCTATTTTCAAAAATGAATTGCTTTTTACTTTAAGTAAAAACCTTTAAATTTGGTATTTGTTTTTAACTCTTATTTTCTTTACTCTACTAAATAATTGTAACTCTTAAAAATAATTGTTGTACCGTTAAAATATATGATAAGTTTTTTTTTCTTATCTCTAACTATTTTAAAATATTTACTCATATGTTAAAATATAATTATCTAATTTATATTTATCCAATCTCCGTTCAAAATTTTCATATTTTAAGTTGTATATTTATTTTTTTGTTTCCTCATAATATTTCATTTAATTTTTGTCAATTATTCTTTTTTATTTAATATGTGAATTAATTTTAGTTTTAATGTTTTGTTTTAATAAATAAGATATGTGGAGCCCACAAAAATGTAAAGTATGATGACATGGATGTTGATGTGGATCCCTAGATGGAGAGAAGACTCTCTAATTATATATATAGATTCTGGAATCAAGAGATTGATACTTGTCTTCTCCTTCTTTTGATTTAGAAAATGGTGATTATTATTATTATATCTCTCTCCGAAAAAATTGGTGCTTCTCATTTCATAACCACATTATCCGCTTTGACTCATCACGAGATCAATGATTACCATTTTTCGAATCCAATCTTTCAAAATGTATTCCTTCTAGGGTTTTCGGTGATTGTTTGTTGGGGATGATCATTTACCATTTTTCGACTTAATCCATCGGAGAATTCAAATCCCAGAAATACCGAGCTTTTGAGGTTTTTGAAGGTGCGATTTTGAACTTTTGTATCCCTACTGTTTCTCATATATCTTCAACGTAATTGTTTGACATTAGTGTTATTAATTCAGGATAAGTGATGATGACTCAGTTCTCAGTTATAGATTATATACAATAACTATTGTTTGATTGATTGCTGTAAGAAGAACAAAAAAAAGTTGATTTTTTGAGCAATTCACTGATATTTTGACAGTTGACAAAGTTTAGGTAGGGCCTCTGTTGTGAGGAGGATGCAACTAGATTTTTTTAGCATTTAAGAATTGTGAGGATATTCAATACTCAATAGCATTCATTTTTGTAGTTTTGGTTGATGTTTTTTCAAAAGTGATGGATGTTCGTATTCTGGTGTAGCGTTCCTTATATGATTGAATGGGAACTTCATGTGAATGCTTTCCCAACAGGTCTTTCTCTATTTATTATGAATCAATGTCATTTCATGAATGCTGTTCCATTAATAGACCACACCATGTGTGTTGAATGTATTCCTTTCTTGCTTTGTTCTTTCTCTAGGCACAAGGTTTTAGTCTGCTGACTTTGAAACCGGGATGCTGAAGTTATTCTGCTAACCATTCTTAGTACTGTCAAGATTTGAACTGTCGTCAAGAGTTCTAAGGACTACAAGAAGTTCTTGTCAAGAACCTATAGAGCTATGGGCTCTGATAAGCATTCTGCTCGTTTTCTACATAACCTCAAGATGGAGAGGGTCAGAACGATCCTAACCCATACTTACCCTTATCCCCATGAGCATTCACGTCATGCTATGATTGCTGTGATTTTGGGTTGCTTGTTCTTTATTTCGTCGGAGAACATGCACAGCCTCGTAGAAAAGTTGGACAATAATTTCAAGTGGTGGTCCATGTATGCCTGCTTGCTTGGCTTTTTCTATTTCTTTTCATCTCCATTCATCAGAAAGACTATCCGACCAAGCTACTCAACCTTCAGTCGGTGGTAAGTGAATCCTTTTATTCCGTCTTCCATAAAGAAAATTTAACACTTTGAAGGTTTGTTTTCTTGTTTAGGTACATTGCTTGGATTTTAGTTGCAGCTTTGTACCATCTCCCAAGTTTTCAGTCAATGGGTTTGGATTTGAGGATGAATTTGTCCTTGTTTCTAACAATTTACATATCATCCATAGTCTTCCTTCTTGTCTTTCACATTGTTTTTCTTGGGCTTTGGTATATTGGTCTTGTTTCTCGTGTGGCTGGAAGACGCCCTGAGATCTTAACCATTCTTCAAAGTTGTGCTGTAAGTATGCTATCTCACAATCTTGTAGATCAAGGTCACTTGCTTAAAAAGGATTAGTTTTAAAGAAAAATCAAATTTCAATGTCCTTTATCTTTTGTAGGTTCTTAGCATATCGTGCTGTATTTTCTACAGCCATTGTGGTAATCGTGCTTTTCAGAGGCAAACACCCCTCGAAAGAAGGCATGCTAGCCGGTTTTCATTATGGAAAGGAGAAGATGGAAACAGTACTTGGCTTGTGAAATTTACTCACATTGATGAGCTAAGAGACCAAGTCTGCTCATCATGGTTTGCTCCTGTTGGATCTGCACGTGATTATCCACTATTGTCCAAATGGGTCATTTATGGGGAGGTCTGGCTTCTGTTATATAATATATTATTCTGATTTGTTGTGTACGTTCTTATTTGACCACTCTCTGTTGCATTCCTACCTTTTAATCTGCAGTTGGCATGCAATGGGTCTTGTCCTGATTCATCTGATGAAATTTCTCCTATATACTCGTTGTGGGCAACGTTTATTGGCCTTTACATTGCTAATTATGTAGTGGAGAGATCAACAGGGTAAGTGGCATAGTTTTTGTTAAGTGAATATTGTAACTAAAATGATCAACACATACAGAATAATTACTGTTTTATGAAATTTTCTTTGTACGGTTAGGTGGGCTCTGGCACATCCTCTGTCTGTCGAAAATTATGAGAAGTTGAAGAGGCAACAAATGAAACCTAATTTCTTAGATATGGTTCCTTGGTATTCAGGGTACGTCTATGCCAACTGATCTTTTTTCTTTTTACATATATTAGCATCTACCAATGTCTTCTTCGAAGCAATACATATTTAAAGTAGGATACTTGGGCACAGTCTAATCTGTCTGATTATCTATTTCAGAACTTCAGCTGATTTGTTTAAAACTGTGTTTGACCTCCTCGTATCAGTGACTGTCTTTCTTGGCCGCTTTGACATGCGAATGATGCAGGTATACTATTTCTTATAGTGATGTGATAGGATCAGATCCTTTTATCTTTCCGCGTTTTGATTTGCTTATTGTTTTGTTTTTTTCTAACCGTCCCTATTCTTAAATCTGTAGGCTGCAATGACCAAAGATTGTGATGGAAACAAAAGCAAGGAACTTTTATATGATCACTTTACTGATAAGACTGACTTCTGGTTTGACTTTATGGCGGATACTGGTGATGGTGGGAATTCATCATATTCTGTCGCGAAACTTCTAGCTCAGCCTTTTATCAAAGTCCCGCTAGCTAATGATTCTATATCTCTAGAAAGGGGTAACATACTGCTTATTGGGGGAGATCTTGCGTAAGATTTTTGTATACTATCTGTGATTTCCATATTCTCTGTTATTTGTCACGTCTGTATGTAACATAATGGATGTCGTTCTCTGATATATTGCAGATACCCCAATCCATCAGCGTTTACATATGAAAAACGTTTATTTTGTCCTTTTGAGTATGCGCTCCAACCTCCCCATTGGTATAAAACGGACTCAATTTCTGTTAACAAGCCTGAATTACCTGATGGGGTGTCTGATCTGAAGCATTATGATGGTCCTCAATGCTTTCTTATCCCTGGAAACCATGGTGGGCTTCAGCTCTCAACTTCATTTCTCTTTCTAGTAATTATGTTGCACATAAATACATGCATGCTTGGTGTTTCTTGGTATTGCTTCTAATTTTAATGCTATTATTGAACTTTTTAGACTGGTTCGATGGACTTAATACTTTTATGAGGTATGTATGCCATAAAAGCTGGTTGGGTGGCTGGTTTATGCCCCAGAAGAAAAGCTATTTTGCCCTGCAGCTACCTAAAGGATGGTGGGTGTTTGGTTTGGATCTTGCGCTTCATGGTGATATTGATGTGTACCAGTTCAATTTCTTTTCTGAATTAGTGAAGGAGAAGGTAGATTTCAGCATCATCTTCTTTCTCCGGCTAAATAGATTCTGCAGATGCTATACAAAATATGCTACTTCTCATCTATTCGAGCTCTTCTGTTATTTTGTTCACAACTTATGATGTTCTGTGATATCGGTTTTGGGTTTTCTTTGGTTTATGAAACGACCATATTAGAGCTGGTGTCTTCTGGTTGATAACATTGAATTTTAATTTGTTGCTTGATGAATATTTTTATCTTTTCATTTAGGTTGGGGAGAATGATGCAGTGATCATTATCACACATGAGCCGAACTGGCTTCTTGATTGGTATTGGAAACACGATACTGGAAAGAACATGAGGCACCTGATATACGACTTTTTGAAAGGCAGGTGTAAACTTAGAATGGCAGGAGATTTGCATCATTATATGCGTCATTCATGTACTCAATCAGATGGACCTGTTCATGTCCCACATCTCCTTGTTAATGGCTGTGGAGGGGCTTTTTTGCATCCCACCCATGTATTCCGCAGCTTTTCAAAGTTTTATGGTGCTTCTTATGAAAGTAAATCTGCTTATCCTTCTTTTGATGATTCAAGCAGGGTAAACTTTTTCTTGTTTCTTGGATCTCTTATCCACGATCACTGATTTTCCTTGTTTTCTTTGCATTCTGATATTTTACGCTGTTTGCGGTTATTTGCAGATTGCTTTGGGAAATATTTTAAAGTTCAGGAAAAAGAACTGGCAATTTGATTTCATTGGTGGCATCATATACTTTCTCTTGGTCTTTTCCTTGTTCCCTCAGGTGCGGTTTTACACATCTTTGACTTTCTCAAACTCCTTTTTCATATGAACTGTTTCTTGTTTCTCCATTTTATATTTATTTTGTCAGCAATGCTGCTTGAATTGGTCATTTAGACTTTTCTTTTAAAATGGTACACATTGTCAGCATCCACTATTAAATGGTGAAACTGAGACAGGCCTTACACATCTGTAGTAGTGTTTTTCCTGTGCGAACCATTTTTATGCTCACTTAGACTCACAAGAAGGTCTTTATCTTCATTCCTTGTTGGTTTCAGTGTAAGCTAGGCCATATCTTACGAGGTGATTCATTTTCTGGCCACCTGGGGAGTTTCTTTGGCACAGTTTGGAGCTCCTTTGTGTACGTAATAGAGCAGTCGTATGTGTCTTTCACCGGTGTTCTTATGTTGCTAATAACTGCAATTATGTTTGTACCCTCAAAAATATCTCGAAGGAAACGACTGTTAATTGGAATTCTTCATGTTTCTGCACACCTGACGGCTGCTTTGATTCTTATGTTGCTGTTGGAACTCGGCATAGAAATCTGTATTCAGCATAAGCTCCTTGCGACCTCCGGTCAGTTTCCTTTCCATAGAATGTTGTGGCTTTCCTCATTACAAAGTCATTAACACTAATGGATTAAAAAAAATGTGATCCTACCTTAATTGATCTTTTTTGCATCAATGATCAAACCTTAATGGATTTTGAGATTTTGGAACTCTTGGCTACACAGGGTATCATACATTGTATCAGTGGTATAAATCAGTAGAAAACGAACACTTTCCAGACCCTACCGGCCTTCGAGACCGTATTGAACAGTGGACGTTGGGATTTTATCCCGCCTGCATCAAGTATCTTATGTCAGCATTTGATATTCCCGAGGTAACGTAATTCGTCATTTTAGCTTTGTTTTAAGTGAAATAGAAATCTATTTTCAGCTGAAAGTAAAGTATATAACATTAGGTGATGGCGGTTACACGGACTAACATTTGTCGAGAAGGAATGGAGTCGCTTTCTCGAAGCGGAGCAGCCATCTATTATGCTTCTGTCTTCCTTTACTTCTGGGTCTTCTCAACTCCTGTTGTATCTTTGGTTTTTGGAAGTTACTTATATATATCCATCAACTGGCTTCACATACACTTTGATGAAGCATTTTCTTCACTTCGGATCGCCAATTACAAATCATTCACCCGTTTCCACATCAAGCCTGATGGAGACCTTGAAGTCTTCACCCTCGGAGTGGACAAGGTGAGAAAAGAACTCTTGAGGTTAAAATGACAAAAGAAAAAGTTTGTGATTATGGAATTAACCAGAGGAGTGTATGTGATGAATGAGTCCAGGTGCCAAAGGAATGGAAGCTAGACAAGGACTGGGATGCAGAGCCGAGATCGATTGTGAAAATGAGTCATCACAGAAGGTTTCCAAGCAAATGGTGTGCAACAACATTGCAGCAGGATCCTGTCAACACCGTAAAGATCGTAGATCATTTTGTTATTCGTAAATCAGAGAAAGAAATTGGAGGATGTTAGATAGAATCAGGTTCATCACTGATCCTTTCCTATTTTAGAATGTAGTCTGTAGCGTTCCCAGCTTTATGAATAGGGTTTGAGATGAATAATGCTTCTTATGAGAGTGATGACAAATAAATCATATTATAGTTAACAATTTAACAGCTCAGTCTTTTGTGAGTTTACTTTAGAATCTAATAACAAGTCTCTGAAACAACTTTTAACTCTATATTTTTTTTTTTTCCTTCACCCATCATTATTCTATAAACCCTTTTGAATTTTGTTAGATGAAATATATATAAATATATGGCACATTATATTCTCAAACCAGTGACTTCCTTTCTTCTTCCTCTTCTCTATCACCATCCCCTCCTGCGATCCTAACCGCTGGTCTCGCAGGAATCTTGGTTGGAGCTTTACTATCCATCGGAACCATCTTCAATACAATCCCCATTGCTATCAACAGCAAGCCCGACCCGTGCTGTTCCGTTAACGGCTTTGTGAATATCAAATACGATAGCAACAGCGTAACCCCTTTCCTAGCCGTTGTTATCTACACAAAACGATTTTTAACTGTGATTTTAGAATACAGATTCATTCAAAATGCAAGTGAGCGTTCACAGATAAGACTAGAGATTTACCAGGGCGGTTGTGGCGGCTCCAAAGAGGGCAATGAGCGATAGAACGGAGACTTGACCGATAAATGTGGCCATGGCTTCAAATACAAGCACCCCATACACATACGGATGCTGCAAATATAAACAAAGAACAATTGATTTTAAATATATGTCAACCACCGGATCGTTAAACCGTTTGACTATAAAATATTCCACGTTGGTACTTAAGTTATGGAATCAATGAATTAAAAAAAAGACAATTTGGCTTTTGAAAAGTTTGGCAGATTCAGAAGCACGTCGTCGGTCAATAATTTCATTTCGACGGTACCAAGAATCCTACAAATTTTGACTTTTTCTCTAAACCGAGTCTAACTCCGGTTTGAATCATGAACCGAGTCAAACCTAAAGCCAAATACAAGGTCCACTCTTTGTCACTTTTACTTAATGGTTTATAATATAAACCGAAAACCGAAACGCGTTACCTTGGTTTGGTTAAAGGCTGACCAAAACTCAAACCAGAAAAAATGAAAACAGAGGTTGTTTACTTACTTGTGCACACGCAGTCCACGCACGGAAAACCTCTCCGGTTAAGACCATGGGAACGAACAAGAACGGTAATCCAACAACAGTTGAGCAGAAAAGCATCTCCATCTGCACAAACACATTACAAGAATCTCAGACACTAAACAAAACATAACGGTAAAGGAAAACCGAAAAGAACCGGTTTTTTTTTTCGAATTCCTTGCCTGAGTAGTCTCAGGATTCATTGTGAAGATAGCTTCTTGTAAATTACCCAAGAAAGCATCCATGATCAATGCACCAGTTATCATCATAATCCCAATCATACTGAAATTCGGAGACATTTGCGCATCGGCTAATGTGAATAGTATCAAACCAAGAACCAGCAAGAAAGCTGAAATGTATTCATGGACTGGGTATTTTCTTCTCAGACCAGGTATAAACGCTCCCATTATCATCACCGGCAACACCTAAAACACCCGAAAGATCGTCATTTCGATCATTCTCTAAACTCATTGAGACTGTGATTGAGAATTGTGGATCTATTACCTTGGTGGATTTGAACATGATTTGAGCTGGATAATTGAGATAAGCCAAAGATCCCTTGGTTAAACCATGTGATCCCATAAGAACAGCAGAGAGTTTGACATAAGTCCTCATCGGATTAACGATATGCTTTGTGGTAAAGCCTTGAAGATAGATTAGAAACAAGTAGACAAATCCTTGTATAAACGTGAAATACCAACCAAAGCTACAAAGACAGAGCAAATCCCATAGTTAATTTTCTTGCTTAAAATCTAAAACTTAAAAGAGTAATCAAAAGTTGACTTTTACCTAAACTGGAGACGATTATAAACATATTCCTGCAAAATCAAAGAAAACAAATCAAGTCAATGATCATATATGAGTAATTGTAGATCCAATTACATTCTCTAAAAATCTATTTTCTTTACAAAGATCACAACTTTTCTTGTGATTTCAATAATTACAACTTTGAAAATAGTTCGTCATGCAATTTTTCTTCTTCCTTTGTTTTTTCTTTCTCAGAAACAAAACATCAAACACTTAGCATGCAAAAGATTTAGAATGCAACAAAATCACAAATTTGCGAGAATCAGAAGCAGGGTATGTGGAATTACCACAAGAAACAAACAAAATCATTAACGTTGATCGATTATGTTTCAGAATTCGAAAAAAAAAGAGAGAATTTTGGAAACGAACCTCGCAGACTCCATTAACGAGATAACCAAAAAAGAAACCAGAAGTGCAAATGAGAAACTGTTGCCAAGTTGGTTTATCAGACAAAGAGATTCCAAACAGAGATCTTGTTTGTTCCTCCTTCATTTTTTCTTTCTTTGAAACAAAGAAAAGATCAAAAGAAACCCAGAAAGTGAATTATTCAGAGGAATTGATCAAACACATGTAAAGTGACTCATAACGGTATTATCACGAAAACACCCACAAAAAAGGGTAATCAAAGAATAATTAAAACCAAATTCTTCTCTAATTCTTCACTCTCCTCGAGAAACTTGAAGAAGAGAGAGAAAGAGAGTAAATAGATGTGTATGTATTGGTAAAAGAGGAGGAAGAAGAGAGCTTTTAAGAAGGAAGGAGAAAACGCATGAAGAAGAAGAAGAAGAAGGAAGAGACTCGTCGCGTGATTCGCCACTTCGTGACACGTTTTTTTCTCCATATAAGCGTTCTTCTTCTTCTTCTTCTTCTTTTTTACGTTTTCTTTCTCTTTTTTTACCGGTAAAACTCAACTTTGCAAGTGAGTCCTTAAACTTTTCTGTATTTTTCATTGAAGTCTGAAACTTGTGTTTTGTCTTTAACACCACGACAAAATTTGCATTACCAGCGTGGCACATTTTTTTTTGTCTTAGTCTTTTATTGCATGATCTTATGTTTGCTAATTAAGATCATATCATATTATTACCGGTTTGGTTTATATATTTTAAAAAAATTGGGTTTAAAATTTTTAATGACAGTTTTTGTTGTATATGTGTGGTTTTAAAAATGTATTTCTAATATTTTTTATGTTATAATAAACTTGACTCCGTTTTCTTAAATATATATTTTTTAAAGAGAAAAGATACAAAAAATAGTATGACACTTTAAAAAGAAAAAAAACTTAACTAGAAGTCTAGAGTATATGATATCATCAAATCTTCACATCAACTAAAAAGAAAGTGAGTCTCATTGTTTACACATTCAGAAAATAGAGGCACTAATAAAAAAATAAGATAAACTTAGGGGTGCGTTTTCAGATTTTCTTTATTTGAGCAAAAGAAAGTTACTGCTTGGAGAGAAAATGAGTGAATAAAATGGAAAAATTAATAAAGATTAATCAAGATGGCTTACGAGTCAACTTTCCGGTTTAAGACAGATTGAGTCATTGTCTCAGTAGACGCCATTACAGTCTGTCTTTTACAATTTTATCATCTTTCCTGAATTTTGTTTTTTGTTTTTTTCGGAAGTGATTGTTAAATGCGTTATACAAGTTCTGGTTATGTCAGAATTACATATTAACATATATCTAGACACGTTTTGGTGTTTGTTTTAAAAAAAAAAATTGTGGTCATCTTCTATATCCATATAAAGCAATAAACCCCACTCATGCATATTCATTCGTTCACTTACTGAGTAGTTGTTTTGTCCTAGTTGAAAACTAGTGAACAAAATTAGAGGAACAACAACAAATTGAGTCAACAAAATAATGACGATATTTAAGTCAATGAATTGAATGTTTTAGAATAATTAGGTGGCGGTGTATGGTGAACAGTCGAAAATAGTATACATTTTTATTGGTAATTGTAATTCTAATTGGTGTAATCAAAAATAATATGTAGCCATTATAGTCGTATATTAAATAGCATATAATACAAAATTGTTTGGTTTCAAAATAGACCGTTTAAGAATAGCTTTGATTAGTGACAACGATAAGTTGAAATGGAAAAAAATAATAGAAAATATCCAATTCCTACAATCATATATGACCCCTATAAACTAAAATTCTAGCTCCGCCACTGCATCGCAATTAGCATTAGAGATTAAAAATTATATAAAAAATTTAATAAATATATTTCAGTTGAAGGTCAAATATTATCTTTACGTGCAACTGTATTAATACATAAAGTAATATACAAATGATAATCTCTACACATAACAAAATTGATCTTACTCTTAGATATTTTTCTTGCTTAGAACCATTTGTGTGGTTTATAATAAACGGAAGACTTTACTCGAGACTTTTGCATTTGGAAGCAACCGATCACATTTCACATATTCACAAAAGGAAAAAATAACGAGTAAAAGAATCAAAGTCGTTAGAAACAATCCAGTGACGTACGGTCAAATAGTGTGGGCCTAGCTTCGGCAATTTTGTACCGGGCACCGGAATCCTACCAAACACCAAAGACAGGTCCAGTTACACTGCCGCCCCCTTCTAATTTCCACAGATGAATTACTTTTTTTTCTTCTAAATTATAAAATATAACTTTTTTTGTGAGATTTTGTATTGACATTGATTATGGACACTGTTATTGCCGTATTAACGTGCGCAAAATAGGGTTGGCAAATTAGAATAGTTGATACTTGTACAATCTATATGCTTATTAATTCAAATTCAAGTATTTGTGTAGCTACAACTAGACATGGTAGCAGTCAGTACTCAGTATATATGAAAAATTCTTATTTTACTACGCATAATTTTAAAATATTATAAAACTGATTATAAGTATAACTTTTAACAAGTACTACTGAATAACTTGTATAATTTCCTAAAATTTTAGTCAATTATAATTATATCATTTAATTTGTCTTATTAATATTAAAGGCATTTAACAGAAAATGAGCATGTGTATCTTGAATATTTCAAATATCTGTATATAATTAACTAGCATTATAAAATAGGGGCTTTTGCAAAAATGCCTCTTTTTCAATGCCACTTTTCAAAAATGCCCCTTCTTTAAAACCTTATAAAAAATGCTCTTAAAAATATAAGATTTACCCAAATATGTATGTAACATTATTAAAACATACACAAACTACATTTCTATGTATCTAAAATCTTATAAATACTTTATAAATACCTTATAAATGCATTTTAAATACCTTTAAAAACCTTTAAAATATCTTGTAAAACCTTTGAAAAACTTTAAAAATCCTTTAAAATAACTTGTAAAACCTTTAAAAACACCTTATAAAACCTTATAAATACTTGGATCGAGTCTTCAAGTAGTAGTTACAATCCATAAGTACCTTATAAACCTAATAAAACTTTATAAAAATTTCAGATTTAAAAAGGGGCATTTTTGAAAATGAACATGTAAAAGGGGCATTTTTGAAAAGGAGCACATCAAAAGGGGCATTTTTTACAATTTCCCTATAAAATATATGTCCTATGTGAGTACGTGTGATTTAAAAATGCAGTGATATAGGTAATATGTCGCAATATTTGGTTAGATGCAAATGACTAAAATCTTGTAATATACTACTAAACAAGTTTTCAATAATCGAAATTGTCTTCATTCGTCCAAGTGTCTCTCTCTCAGCAACAATGATTTGGTACGTCATTTTTTTACATAGTGAAATTTGGTTTATTTCATAAATTATGGGTTTTTTTTGTATTGAAACAATAATTCAATATTTGCGAGAATCTTTGAGGTTGGATATATTAATTCACGGTAATTAGGTTTTGCAAAAAAACAAATGTTTGAGAAATTTGTTACAATTTTCATTAGATTTAATATATAGGAGGATGATCATCTTTGTAAAGTGGTTGAAGCCCAAAAATAACCATAGTTTAGGCCCATTTTACTTAATGGCCGTATTACTTATGCTTAAGAATTAAGATTATATTAGTTAAGAACTTTTATGTGAGGAGCTTAAAGGTACGAAGTGTCTGTGGTAATTTATTATAATCTTTTTTGAACTTTATATTTTAGACATTTTTTCCTTAGATTTTGCTGATGTTATGTTACTAGTACTGGAGTCCAACTCCAATTAGATTTTGCTGATGTTATGTTACTACTGGAGTCCAACTCCAATTCCAAAGAAACTGATAAACCAATAAAACCAATAACATACGATTTGTAGTAGATTACTTTTATGTGAGATTATATGTCAAATTTCCGGCGTTGCGGACTTTACTGTAATCAAGGTCAGAGTTTAGAAGTTTTTGTTTTTTTCATTAATCACTCATTACTCATTCAGACAATATATGTCATACCATTTACTAAGACAATATAGCTATATTTCATAAATTGAGTATTACATAGTGTCAAACAAAGAACAATATATAACGAATATGTGCAAACAACAAAAAAAAGTTTCACAAGGATAAATCATGAATAAGTTCGTCAATCAAGGAAGTGAAGAAACCATTCCCCAACTCTTCAACCACATACTCTTTCTCATCTCCATTGATACAACCCCATTTCATTTCCTTCGTATAAATCTCTCTTTTCTCTCTCACTTCCCAACTCATAAACATAATATATTCTTCGTCTTGTTTCCTCATCACCCATTCTTCAACTATCTTCACCAACTTATCCTCGTCTCTTGTCTCATTGTTCCCGTTTTCTTTAAAAAAATCTAGCAACACATTGTCTACTACATGAGATGCCAACAATTGGTTTCGTTCCTCGATTATTCTAGACTTCACTAGAGCAAACAAACGGTTTGCTCGGATTTCAGATTGATCTCCTTCGGTTTCTATAATGTGAGAGTTGTAATCTTGTCTTTCCACATATTGCTCTATGCGTTTCTCTAAATCCACAGGCTCAAGTCGTACCAAACTCTCAAATCTTCTGCTTTTTCTCATGAGTTTCTTTTCATCTGTTTCTGTAAATTTTACCCCTTAAATGTCAATTTATAAAAAATTAGCTCATGGGATTCAGTAACAAAATTGTTTCAAATGCAACTATATATATGCGTTTGCTTTGAGTAGATAAAATCTATCTACATTAAAAAAAAACACATAATAATTACCTTTTTTTTTTTTTTTGAATAACCGCGGGTCTCCCAAAGGCTTCTTAGGCCCAAGGACTAATCCCACGAGGCTGGCAATTCCCCTATGTAAACCTGCCAGTGGCCATGCCTCGAACCCTGGTGGCGGAAGTCACAGCTGTGACCCCTTTACCACTAGGCCACAAGGCCCGGTTCATAATAATTACCCTTGTGATGCGAAGGAGGAGTGATTGCATCATCTTCGAATGGGCAATCTAAGATCGATATTGGACTATGTTGTTCTTTTTCTTCGTTCATGCATTCCTACAATTTACACTGACTAAATTAATTCAATAGTAAATGAGAAAAATTTAAACATAAAACGAAAGATGAAATTTGTAGTAAATTTGTGTTTAGATAATTAAATTTTAAAGTGGTAACAAAAAACATATAGGAAATAGATTGAGTTTAGTCAACCCACTTCATGACAACAACATTATACATCTCTCTAGTCTCCACACCTTCTCATGCATGCATGTTATAGTAGTCATATTATAATTCCAAAACTTATAAGTGTAATTAGTGTGAGAGATTAATAGATTACTAGTAATATAAATGAACCAGATTGACGTTGGGAAGTGAGTGATATCGTCCGTTGAATCCGCTTTCGAAGCCACCAAGAAAAATCCCATCCCTCGATTTTATCACTCATACTTATTCACATTCCAAACTCTTATTCCCTACCACACACACACGTGACTCGCACGCACGAACCAACAACTTATAAAAATCTCCAACTCCACTCAACTTAAACCAACATCATATCTAATTGGAATATATATTACTCCCTCTGTTTTTTTTAAGTTGTCGTTTTAACTGTATTTGGACAAATTAATAAAAGGTATACAATGACTATATTAACCTCATAAAAATGACAAGTAATTATTTACAAATAATTTGTGTTCAATAAAATGAGGGTAATTTGGGTAGTTATTGGCATAAATTACATTATTACCTTAAAACGACAACTAATTTAAAACAAAAAAAAACTCTAAAACGACAACTATTCGAAAACGGAGGGAGTATTAGTTCACCTATAATGGTTCGCTTTTGTAATAAGTTGTGATATAGTATTTTTAATGGTTGGTGCATTGGGAAATCTACGTGCCGAATGATCATTGGACGAGCACAAAAGATATCGAAAAATTAATAAATTGAAAGTTTGTTAACTAACTAACCTCTGTGTTGTCGTTGAGAGACGATCCGTCACTGACATGTGACCCTACACAATCCCCACTCCTCATAACTACTACTACTCCGTTTGAGGGAAAACGGCCATTTTCAACCCCAACTATTTGGGGGTGGGTTTTTCCAACCTAAACTAAGGCCCCCCGTCAATTTCTACCCAAACTCAAAACTAATTCAAATTCAAAACATAAACTAATGAAAATTAGCCGATTTCAACACGACATAAGACGGTGTTAGTTCGGGATTTAACGGCTGCTGAGTCAGCGATATCGTGGCATTGACGTGGCGGAAAAGCGGCCATTTTCAACCCCAACTATTTGGGGGCGGGTTTTTCCAACCCAAACTATTTGGGGGCTGTAAAAAATAAAACGCCGTCGTTTTCACTGACGTGGCTTCTGGTCAATGAAAACGACGACGTTTTATTTTTTTCCCCTTCAAACAACGAAACGACGTCGTTTTAATTTTGGGGAAAAATTAAAATTAGGGTTCTTCATTTTCTCTCGAAACAGAAAAATGTTCGTCGATTTTATGAATTCACAGGCACTGTAAACGGAATCTGAAAGAAATGTAGCAATAGCAAGAAAAAACAAAATTTGTTCCTGAATAGTTTGGTCTAGCAATTGTGTCCGTCTAAAGATTTTGTCTTTCTTCCTGCAGTGGAATCATTGTACAGAAATTCTATCTGAAAACTTGTCTGAAATCAATTGTGTTTATAGTCTCGTGACCTGAATCATCATCACTACAATTCACAAAAATTTCAATCCGCATAACAATTCATGAACTCTAAAGCTATGGTACCACACTGCCATTCATTAAAATTTCAACTCGACACAAATGGAGACAATACCATATTGTTTTAGAAATCATACAACCCCAAGATCCATCACATGGTAAGTAATACACAGTCGGACTATCGAATGATAGATCACCTTCGATATATAAATAGTTTTTCTCTCACGACCCAACTACAAGATTACATAAATATAGCAGCGGCTTGGGTTTTGAATTTAAATTAGTTTTGAGTTTGGGTAGAAATTGACGGGGGGTCTTAGTTTGGGTTGGAAAAACCGCCCCCAAATAGTTGGGGTTGAAAATGGCCGCTTTTCCGCCACGTCAATGCCACGATATCGCTGACTCAGCAGCCGTTAAATCCCGAACTAACACCGTCTTCTGTCGTGTTGAAATCGGCTAATTTTCATTAGTTTAGGTTTTGAATTTGAATTAGTTTTGAGTTTGGATAGAAATTGACGGGGGGCCTTAGTTTGGGTTGGAAAAACCCGCCCCCAAATAGTTGGGGTTGAAAATGGCCGTTTTCCCCTCCGCTTGATGACTGAGTCGCCTCCGAGTTCTCACTACTAAAACTCGATGAGTCACCGACGACGTCGTTTGACAATGTCGCTTCACCGGAAAATGAATCCGTCGTGTGAAAGCAAGACATCAGATCAGACGGTTGATCTTGACTCTCTCGAAGAAACTCCGCGAATGATCTACACCGTTGGATCTCTTGTTCACGATCCTCCGTTTTCCGTTCGTTCTCTCCGTCGACGTTAAGTTCACGTCGGGGAAGTTTCTTCCAGAAGCTTCTTGAGAAGAGTCCTTTCTTATTATCTCTCTTACAAGACGGATATTTAACGGAGGAAGGAAAGGGCAAGAGTTTAACGGCGGTGAGTAACGCCGTCGAAGCTTTATGAACGGCGTGAGTAAACGCTAATCCGCAAGTAATACGGCGATTGTGGTGGAACATTCCTGACCGTTTGATCTCAGTGTTGAGGAGACGAGGGAAAGATTTGAAGCCATTGGATAAGCAAGAGCTGAGATCATCAAGAAGGAAATCTCGTAACATCAATGGCTTTAATCGTTTCTTGCTCACCGGAAGGCGATGATCGGAGGAACTTATCGACGTCATCGGTGAATCAAACGAAGAGGGTTTTGTTGAAAAGCATTAATGTGAATCAGAAGATAATTATTTAATTTGAATTACGTTTGTTAATTATTTTATTGATTTGTTTGGAATTTTGGATAGTTGACGGAGGTTAGATATTGTGTTTTCAGAAATTGGGAGGATATATCGTAAAATATACAACCGAAAAAAACAAGGTATTGGCTATTGAGAAGGTTAAAAAACTTAAAATTGATATAACTATAGGAAAATTAAAGTTTTATGCTTCTATGATTTTATTATCAATGTTTATATATAGGTAAAATACAAAAAAGAAAAATAAATCTAAAGGTGTGGTAGCGACGTGACAAGAGGATCAGTTATTATGATTTTCATAAGATTAAAAATAGAATAATCCAAATGATTGATTACTATCCTTGAGATTACACACATTGACGATTTGGTATGAGGTGTTCCGTATGGGGGAAATGTTTTCACAAGTTTAATAATTACAAAATTATTGAAGTACAGAAGAAAGGTATATTTGTATTGTCGTATATATTTGTTTTGACAATACAAATATTAATTATTAAGAATCCTATGCATTTCAAAATTTTGATTATGCATTCTTATTTAGTAGATGCATTTTCAAACCCAAATAAGGGACTAAAGGTGTGATTGCCTAATAGTTAATATATAAAAATCTTAGTCAGATTTCAAAGTTTTTTGGTATACTATTAAGTTATACTCTTTCCGTTTCATAATATAAGTCGTTTTAGCTTTAAACACACAGATTAAGAAGATCTATTTTTAAAAAGTTCAGTCAATCATAAAAGAGACTGCATAATATAAATAATTATAAAATATTAAAGTAATATATAAAGTACATAGAAACTTGAAAACGACTTATATTATGAAACAAAATTTTTTCTCCAAAACGACCTATATTATAAAACAGAGAGAGTAATAACTCACGCCTCACGGCGTCCACCTTTTTTTCTGTCTTGTAGGTTTTTTTTTTTTTAACTCATAGATATTCTTTTAAAATCATCAATATAGAATTTCAAAAATTAAAACGAGAGACAAGAAGCCGAGGAAATCATGTTGGCTTTGAATGGTGCATCATTGAATGATGTGTTTGAAAAGACTCATTTATTTTTGAACACACATTTTGGTCTCCAAATTGAAAAATAGACCGTAAAATGTAAATAATTAAAGAATTTAGTATATTAATTTTTTTAGGATATTAGAAATATTAGAAATATATAACTAATGCGCAAGATGAATTTTAAATAAACTGAAAGAACTCTAAACTGAAAGAACTGAAAAACTAAAATTTTACAAATGAAAAAATTATACAAATTTATATTCTCTCCGTTTTTTAATAAGTGATTTTTTAAGCTTCTAATTTGTTCTTAAATAGATGATGTTTTCAGTTTTCAATACAAAATTAATTGATTTTTATTGGTTTTGACGAATTATTTTCTGTATATTGTTTTTTATTAGTTGATTAAATAATAAATAATATTTTAGTTTAAAAATAAACAAAAATTAAATGATTTTTTAATCGATATATATTCCCCTAAAATATCACTTATAAAAGAAGCGAAGGAGTATATATCAGAATGACGGGAATAAAGACCTAAAGTTGACCTCGTAAATAAGACAGTGGACGAGATCTTGCGGCTTCCATGCAGATTTTGCCCAATCATCTTTAACATAACAACCACGTGTGCACGTCTTCAGATTTAATTGTACTAGTATTTTTAAAAAGAAATAAATACAGTTTAAAATCGAATAAGAGCATCTCCAATGGTGAAAGCCATCCAATGGGCTCTCACCATTTTTTAAGTATAAATTTTTTGAATTTGTTAGATGAGAGTTTATGTTTTTTTCAAAGATTTTTTATAGTCCAATGGTAGTCTCTTTTAGTAGGGTTCTCTCAAAAAAATATATTGCGTTAAAATTATTTTATTTCATAAAACTCAACTAAAAAAAGAGACTATGATTAATAAGGAATTTGGTAATGTACATATGAATAAAAATGTTCTAAAAGGTTTAAAGTACCCATTACATGATTTGAAGTCTTCAACAAAACAATCGAATGTAAGAACAAACAAAAACAGTTCTATGAATCAAGACGAACGATAAGATTAGAAGAACAAACCTTGCAAAATATGGAATCCATGAATCTCAGAGCCGATAAGCCTACCGGAATCAACGTCGGCCATCTCCGTTTCAGGTAAGTCCGATGATCCTCAAAGTCCAATGATGAGTCTCAGCTACTGCCAAGTACCTTGACCATTTATATTTCCCTGCAGCTTCTTTCTCAACAACTCCCCAAAAGATTGGTAACTCAATGCCTTCAACACCAAGTAGCTTCAAAGCTTTAAGCCCAGCTGTGATAGCTTTCAAGTGGTTCACGTTGTTGTAGTCTGAAACTGTGTCCAGTGGAAGCCCAACGAATAATTTTACACTCTCCAGCTGCAACAAAGAATAAAAATGAAAACTTGTTTTCACAATTGGATCATCAAGAAGAAAAAGATTAAATCTTTCTTAAGTTCCTATGTTTAATAGAACTTCTTGTGACTCTCAGGTACTACCTTCATCAAATCTATCAACGGCATAGATAACAAACAAGTATTAAAATGTCAGAAAGATGAGAATCATGAGAACATGTAAACTCCAAATCGAACAAATACAATCTTTGCCTGACCACCAAAGCCACAACACTACTTGAAATGATAGCAAGTAGAACATGTATAAGAGAATTGAAATGTACAGATTCAATCACAGCTTAAATCACCAAATTTCACAAACCACATCAACCAGTATACAGTTCATACTAAATGCAATAACTAAGTATAACCTATGAAGAACCGAAATCACAATGATTGAGAAATTCACCAGAAGATCCATGAGGAACACCATAAGATTCAAAAGTCTATCCAGCATCGTAAATCGAACCCTTATAAGCCATGCCTTTCACAGAATTGAACGTAGCCTTAATTTTACCAGCCCATCTCCTACCTTGAAGATGCATATCCTCGAACCCTTCACCTCTATACCATCCTTCTCTCTCCTCGCTACCCTCGTACTCCTTCCACGTATCCTTCAAATCAGACCCATCTGAAGGACGGGGCAACAAACCCAAGAACCCAGAGAAGGCGAAGTCGTGGTTCCCGGCGAGAAAGACGTGAGTTTGATCGGGATGTTTCTCCGGTAGAGAGATTAAGAAATCGATGACTTTTCCGGTCTCTGGTCCACGATCGCAGTAATCGCCGAGGAAGATGACGAGAGCTGAGCTGAATTCTGATGGGTCGATGGCGGATTGGGGATTAAGCCAGAGGTTATTGAGCTTCGATATGTATCCATGGATGTCTCCGACGCAGATCACCGTTCGTGGTTTTTGCGCCATTATATCCAAATCAACCCAAAAAGACAAAAGAAAAGAAAAGAAAAGACGCAGATCACCGTTCGATAGTCGGGACAAAAACAAAACAAAAGAAATATTGAAAAAGACAACGACACGTATGCGTCTCTCTTCAGCTCCAAAATCTCTTTTAAGAGAAACGATTCTCTTAATATTAAAGCTTTCTGATTTATTTATTTTCACAATAATTCAGAGAAACTGTCATGAGAACTCTATTTTTCTCCCATTGGAGATGCTCTAAGGGGAATTTTCACCCTCAAATTAGTGGAAGATATCTGTTGGGCTAGCTAACAATATTGGGCTTTATATTAGCCTTGCTTGGCAAAAGAACGTTATCTCTTTTATTGGCAAGACTAATGAAATCAGAACTCATGAGCCATTGACCAAAGCCCATATTATGGTGTGCTTTATTTTTCTGACATGATCAATGGTTTGTTTTAATATTCTTTCTAATGTTTTGGAGCTTTATATTTGTCATTTTAACTCTCTTTTCCTAGTTACTCTATGTGTTTAAAATATATGATGCTTTAGTTAAAAGCATAGATTTTAAGAAATTTGTTTTTCATTTTAAAAACTATCATTTAATATTTGATTTTAAAAAATCAACCAATTAAAATAAAAACTGTAGAATACAAATAGTCATAAAAATCAAATGTATTTAAATTTTGTCTAGAAATTTGTAAAATATCCTATATAATGAAACAAAATAAAAACTCTAAAACATCCTATAATTTAATACAGAGTAGGGAGTATTAGTTATTACCAACACAATTTAGTATAATGAGACGAAATATGGTAAAAATGTTTTTTTTTATCACCAGTAAAATGTTAATATTTATTACTTATTGAAAAACCAATTATATTTTTTTTTTTAATTTTAAAAGCGGTAAAATGCCTTCCAAATTTTCCACCATGCCGCTTACCATACAACTAATAGGTCTAACTGTCTAACAATTCCTTCATGTTGGCATGCATCACTTGATATGAATATTACACAGTTCTTTCAAAATCATTAATATGAAGTATAAAAACTTGGTTATATATTTTTTGTTCTCAAAACAATAATCTATAAACGAGTTTTACTTTAAGACTAAAGAAAGTCATTAGAATCCTATCAAATGATTTTAAAAGGATGTAAACCTTTTTTTGGGTTTGTATTCCAAACCAAATAGTACCCACACAGAGGAATGTTTCAATGTTTGCAAATTAAGACTTACAAGATATATCAAATAAAACACGAGCATTTAAACAATTTTTTATAAGATAATTACGATGATTGATGTCTTAGATCCCACGACAAGTTCTAAATATATATATAGGCGTTAAGTGTATTAAATTAAGTTATTGAATAATATAGATTACTTTATACTCTTAGCTTATCGGATAATGGCTTATCTAAAACCAAGTCACCAAGCGACAGGACACAAAGGTTTGTTTAGTTAAAGCTACATGCATGAGAATGCATATATTAGACTATTAGGATTCCTCCTATTACTTAGGATCTTTATGGTGTTGATTCATTCTATGCGAATGATATTATAGATTTTTGAACACTACATGACATCTTTTACTCACAAGATATTGTAGTTTAATTACCTTGATCATATAATTATATGAAGATATTGGTTCTAGAATGTATATGGATGAACAACCATTAAATATAGGGATTCAACTAACATAAATACTCTATTAGATTCCTAGATACCTTACCTTTTTTTTTCTTGTCAAGATTACCTTAATCTAAGTTTAAGTCTACGTAAGAACATAAAGTATTTTCACATAATTTGTTAATGACATTTGATATTTAAGATAGTTCTAAATACTTTCTTAAAATCTCGGAAATTTCACATCAATAAACATAATCAATTTTTCATAATTTAATCTAATTTTTGTGATTCATTGTTAACTATATAGGTGTACGTACTTGGCAACAATTTTAGTCAAAAAGAAAAATCAATTATCTTTCGTCACATATACAAATACATTGATACAAGTAAATTTTACGTTTTTCAGAGATATTATCTTTATATTGTCTTAAATGATTAGGGTTTCCAAGTCAAATTTTTGATCAATTTTGTAGGATACTATCAATTTTCAGAGATACTAATTAAATATATGAAATTTCTATATTTCATACCATTTATATTACTATTTTTTATCATTAATTATTTCTATTTTTCTATTTACAGTTGTTAATTATTTTATTATAATATAATAAACGATCGACATAGCTCGTGATAAGATAATGTTATTTTTGTTCCCCATCATCCTCAAACTTAAGCTATATTAATGGTCCACATTCTATAGAGGTGAAGCATGTGACATCGTATTATATCTATGCACAAACAATAAATTCTTATTCCAAAATTATATAAACACTCATAAAAAAATATTCTCTTGAAACTAATTATGAAAGCAAGCCTTTCTTTTTTGCCAAACTATAATTTTCCCCTCGACTATATATATGAATAGGGTGGTCCAATAAATTGTTTTGAAATTTAGAATATGTATTAAGTAGGTATAATATTCCATTCAATTCTTCCCACTTTATTGCAAGCATCAACATCTTTATATAAAATGGTCCATAAATTTTAAATCTTAGTATTTCGTAACAACTTGATAACAACCTTCTCTACACAGCTGCTTAATTTTTTGGTATGTGATCTGTGTCCATCCCCATTAGCTTACTACTTCTTCGAGCAGTTAATTATTTGATTTTGTAAAGAATCCTTTTTTTTTTTTTTTTTTTGCACATGAAAGATCCCCATAATAGTCAAATTCAATACTATTAAAAGTGAGGAAGAAACGACATGAGTCAATTTGTTACACTGGTATTTTATAATAAGAATAGAAATCCGAAAACGTCTCAAGTTTCAACTCTATCTATGGTGAGTTGTATTGTATGTATCTAACAATAAACTAATCGTGAATAAATCCAATTATTAATATTTCCTTAGAAACTTTGCCCCAAATTGAAAACAAAAAATCCAAATAAACATGAAGAAAGTAAAATGATTCCAATAGACATCCAAAAAATCATATTTTCTTGGAAACTTTTTTATTGTATTTCCACAAATGAAAATATAATAGTGTCTCTGAATTAAGACGTAGTCATAACAATGACATAATGGCCGGTCAAAAAACCGCCAAAATAGTTCTGTTATAACTAAGACTTAATTTCTGAGTCAAAAAACTTCTCTTGTTCCCTTAAGGGCCTTAATCACTATTAACCTTAATTAGTGACTTAATTTCAAACTTATAACACAACTTTCACACATCAACAATACCTTCTTCATCATCCCCTTTCTCTATCTCTCTGTCTCTCTCTCTTCTCTCTCAAACCTGTAATCATGGCAGCTCCTTTGTTGATCATCAAGAACCAAACAGATCACCGACAAGATCCGAATTCGAACCCGACTCATCTCTCCTCTTCGATCCAAGAAGCCAAATCAATCGCCAAAATATCTCTCCCACTGATCTTAACCGGTTTACTTCTCTACTCTCGCTCAATGATCTCAATGCTCTTCCTCGGGCGTCTCAACGATCTCTCTGCTCTCTCCGGTGGCTCACTCGCCCTCGGCTTCGCCAACATCACCGGTTACTCTCTCCTCTCCGGTCTCTCCATCGGCATGGAACCCATCTGCGTTCAAGCCTTTGGCGCCAAAAGATTCAAACTTTTAGGCCTTGCTTTGCAAAGAACCACACTTTTGCTTCTCCTCTGTTCTCTTCCCATCTCTCTCCTCTGGCTCAACATCAAGAACATCCTTCTCTTCTTCGGACAAGACGAAGAAATCTCGAACCAAGCTGAGATCTTTATTCTCTTCTCTCTCCCTGATCTGATTCTTCAATCTTTTTTGCATCCTATCCGTATTTACCTCCGATCTCAATCGATCACTCTTCCTCTTACCTACTCTGCTTTCTTCGCCGTGTTACTCCACATTCCGATTAATTACCTTCTCGTTTCTTCCCTCGGCCTCGGCCTTAAAGGAGTCGCCTTGGGAGCAATCTGGACTAATGTCAATCTTCTAGGGTTTCTAATCATCTACATCGTGTTTTCCGGTGTTTACGAGAAGACTTGGGGAGGATTCTCATTGGATTGCTTTAAAGGATGGAGATCTTTGATGAAACTAGCAATCCCTAGCTGCGTCTCGGTTTGTCTAGAATGGTGGTGGTATGAAATCATGATTCTTCTCTGTGGGTTGTTACTTAACCCGCAAGCAACCGTGGCATCTATGGGAATCTTGATCCAAACAACCGCGTTGATCTACATTTTCCCTTCCTCTCTGAGTATCAGCGTTTCGACACGTGTCGGGAATGAACTAGGTGCGAATCAGCCTGATAAAGCGAGGATAGCAGCGAGAACCGGACTTGGTTTAAGCCTAGGTTTAGGTCTAATCGCCATGTTTTTCGCTTTCATGGTGAGGAATTGCTGGGCTAGATTGTTCACGGATGAGGAAGAGATTGTGAAGTTGACTTCTATGGTTTTACCGATCATCGGGCTTTGCGAGCTAGGAAACTGTCCTCAGACTACAGTGTGTGGAGTGTTGAGAGGAAGTGCGAGACCTAAATTAGGAGCAAACATAAACTTGTGTTGTTTCTACTTTGTGGGAATGCCTGTTGCTATATGGTTAAGTTTCTTTAGCGGGTTTGACTTCAAAGGACTATGGCTCGGTCTGTTTGCAGCGCAAGGCTCGTGCCTGGTTTCGATGTTGGTCGTGTTGGCTAGGACTGATTGGGAAGTTGAGGTTCATAGAGCAAAAGAACTCATGACTAGATCATGTGATGGTGATGAAGATGAGGGTAATACGACACCGTTTTTGTTGGATTCTTTGGATATAGAAGAAAGTGGGAATTATAGGCATTTGAATGTGTTTTAAAATCTTGTCTCCTTGTTTTGATTTATTGGCACTAACGAGATTCGTTTCATTGTACACTCTTCTAATTCATTATTTTAGGAGGAAACATTTGATTGTTGGATTTTGAAATTTATGTTATATATGGATTTGTGCGATCTATTGGATTTATATGTTTTTTTTATAAGGTTTCCATTGTTGATAATGTAAAGCAATGAAATGTTACAAATGATGTTGATTTGATAGTAAAAATTAATCTTCTGTCATTACAAAAAAATATCATGGGAGTGACTTGTTGTCATGAGAATGACTTTTTTTTTTT